TGCTGCGTTAGTGACACCGACACCTGCCGCAACTCTCTCTGCTCTGTGCAGGTCTGTGAAAACAGGAGATTCCCAAAATGAATAAAGATGCCCAGATGAGAGCGACCATTAACCAAAAGCTGATAGAAACGGGAGAGCGAGAACGGTGAGTAGGCTTCCTCCTCCGCGCCGGTTAGAGGCTTAAATATTATCAATGTGCTATACCTAGAAGTAAAGATTAAGGAAACTGAACTCTAAATTCTTCAAATGCCTGTATGTGAAAGTCTTATGTAAAGCTATATATATTTAAAAACCATCTTATTTCTGACTTTTGAACCACTTTATTTTAGTTTTACACTTCAGAAGCTGGGAAAATAAAGCTGGTTAGCTTATGAACTCTAAAGCTTTTTCTTATTCTGGTATTCTGTGTTGGAAAGCTCATAGTTGATGTAAAGATTACTATTGAATACAACTTGTTATGGGCAAATCTTGTTATCTCCTGATAAAGAGAATGAGACAAAGTTTTCCTTTTTGCTTTAAGGTTCGTTTTTTTTTATTCCTATCTCTTCTCTTGTTAGGGAAGGAAATATACAGTGGAACACGGAAAGCAGCACTTGTACAAGTCATTGTAGAGATCTCAATAAAAGCAAACAAGTAAATAACACAACGTAGGGTGGCAACTAGTTTTTGGCCTTTTGTTGTCTCTTTGGTCTGTTCTGTTTGCATTGTATGTACATATCACTAGTGCTCTTTCAACATTTCTGTCTTCATCATTTCACTATATTTGTAACACCATCCACCAAGAGCTCTATTTCCTTCATTTTTCAAGGCCAGTATGAGAAGGATTCTTCTTCCTAGGTCATCGCATAGCCCTGTACTTAGTGAAGGTGTTTGTGCTCTGCTTCTTTCCTGGTTGTGCCCATCCCCTTGGAGATTGCACAGAGCTTCAGCATACTAAGCCATTTCTTGAAATGGTACTGGGACCTGTTTTATTCTAACTAAGAGTAAGAAGAGTTTTGACAGGATGTCAAAAGCCGTATTATAAACAAGCTTTATCAGAGCTGTACTATGGTCAGAGAAAGAACACTCAGATTTCTTGAATTAAGAAATATCCAGATGCGGTGAATTTCACCTGTATTGTGACTTGGCTTTGCATCATCAGTTCATCTGCCCTCTACACAGTTCACTGAGTAAAACATACTAGATCTGCACAGTTCAGCCTCTTGCTGCAATCCTGTCATTCATGAAAACGGGATTTTGCTACAGTTATTTAGGATGATACAAGATAAGTAGGCTTGCTAGCTGATAGAATGTAGATGTTAAAGCTTATTTTATCATGTCTTACTTTAGTTTTGCTTTCTTTGTTTATTTCAGTACTAATTTTGACTTTTTAAGCTAACTTTCAATATTCTCTTTTGATTTATGGAGTAGATGTATCACTGTGGCAGATTGTTCTTGTCTTCTCCGTTTATTGCCTGAATCCTTGTTACCTGTGCTTATAATTGCTAGCCATGCCTTCATCTTAAACCAACACGAGGTAAAGTGTAACTGGGGAGAGCAACCTGCAGTTGAAGACAGCAGTACAGCATTCTTTCAGGAAGGAAGGGGGAAAGTTTTATTTATTTTGAACATCTGGTTTCAAGTAAAATATTCTAACTTTGAAAGATAGCACACATTTGCTAACAGAGTAGACTTGGACGATTCAAGGGCTTCTACTTCTTTTCAGTGTCTGCAGCATCAATGCTGCTTGAAGAAATACTGTGAATTGGCTCCTGAGCTGACTCCTCCTCATCATAGTCCAACATGATAAACTGAAATTGGTACTCACTCAGGTTAGGATTCACATGCTGTTCCAACATTTCTGCTGCTGGTCTGAGAGCTCTGCTATGCGCAGTAATTGTAGGCTTAACTGTCACACTGAAGCATATTTAAGCTGTCAGGAATGTTTGCTATTCCTAACAAGTTTGTATATTGTCTTAACAGCCTTAAAGAGTTGCTGAGAGCCAAATTAATTGAATGCGGCTGGAAGGATCAGTTGAAGGCACATTGCAAAGGTAACAGTGGTCAAATAACTAATGGCCTTTTTAATCAGCTTAAGTTCTGGACAAATAAAAGTCCCAGGTGAAGGTTTCACTGCGTAACAGCAAATTTAAATGAGACTTGGACAAGAGGAAAGTATCCTGGCAATTGGTTGCATGCAAGAAAGCATCTTGCCATCTTGGCAAAAAAATCTGAAACTTCTCTTGATTTAAACTTATTAAGCTTCTGAGAAAAGTATTGGAATTGGTTCCCTGAATTTTCATGATACAGCTTTTTGTTTTGAGAGAGATGACTTCCTTACCACAGGAGATTAAAAAAACAAGATAAAGGAAAATGGAGCAAATAAGTGGTATGCACTTAGAAACTTAATAGGACTTTGTCTACGTATGTGGAGAGAGAAAGTGCATTTGTACTCCTGAATACAATTCTTGAAAATAAGACCACCTACTTAGACAAGAGAAAACAAGCAGATGAACCTGTAAATACCCAAATATTTTAGTTTGAGTTAAATATTTAGCATCACTACAATTTACTGACTTGTAAATTGTATGAAACTGTTATAAATAGTATTTAAGCATCCAAGGCTATTACTGCATGATGAAATTTCCTTAAAACAAGTAAGAAATCCCTGGAGCTTTTGCTTTAATTCTGATTTGGTCTGTTGTGCTCGGTGACTCCATATTCCATTACAAAGTATTTATTTTTGTAGGGCTGAGTGTGTTAAATTGTTTTCATAGGTGGATTTGCAGAGAAGGCTGAAATGATTCATGCTTCCAGTTGTCTGCCTGATGCCGCTGTCTGAGATTACCCATTTCAGTAGTACAAATAGTGAAAGGGATGTTTTTCTGCCTTCTCAACTATACACTTTATACTCCACTATAGTAAAGTTATTTAAAATTGTTTGGTTTACATTAGTACTTTGAACTGTAACTGCAGCTGCTGAGAATCAAATATAAGTTCAGTTATCCCTGTTAGAGGCCTAATAACCTCCAATAGAAAGGACAGAGAGGGATTTAGGGGGTTTGGGGTTTTGTTGGTGGGGGTTTTTTTGTTGTTATTGTTTTGTTGGTGGGGTTTTTTTTTGGTAGCTTGTTCTAGAACCTCTTGCCATTGTGGATTAGGGCCAATAATTGAGCAATCCAGGATTATTTTCTACAGGGAATTCATCCAAGAAAAACAGTTTACAAATATTTAATGTGATATCAGTTCAAAAAACATATTTAGTGTCTTGGGGACAATCAATCCTATGTAATGATGTATAGTTGAATACATTAATGTTTAGACAAAATATTTTAGGTATCTGCTACTGAGGTTTCTTCTCATCGACTTCTGCAGTAGACTTTTTCAGTAGTCTTCAAGGCACTATAAGCAGGCAATTGTTTAAATACTAGTATGTATTAATCATACAGTATATCTTAATCATAGCTTTTATTTTGCTGTAGATGTATACCTTTCTTTCAGATATGCTTTTTTATTTTGCTGAAATACATAGAGAGATGTTGTTTAAACCAATTAGGAAGAGTAGTATTAACTGTCTCTGTGCTCTCCCTTGTTGTATGTTCCCAAGTCTTTTTCCAATTGCATCTGCTTCTCACTGTTGCATAAATAATGCATTTGAAGAGATAAGCAGACCAACTCGTGAGCTGCCACAACAATCCTGGAATATGCACATCTGGAAATGCTCAGATAAGCTTAAACTTTGTAATGTTTCATTTTAAAATACGAGCTGATCAAGGTGCATCAGTACTGACAAGTTCCCACCTATGGAATGAATGCGAGACTAAATCCCCTGTACAGTGCAGTAGGTACCAAGATAATAACCTACATTTAGGGCACATGCTACTTCATATTCTCTGATGACCTATGCATACAGGTTTTGTCTTCTGATGAATGGAATAAAAGACTTAAAATAACAGTGTTGGTCTTCCCCAGATGTCATTAAAGAAAAAGGATTAGAGCATGTTACTGTTGATGATTTGGTGGCAGAAATCACTCCCAAAGGCAGAGGTAAGAAAATGCAAATATGGATGTGGTGATACATCAATGAACTTACATACCTGTATTTCCTTAATATTTTGAAAGCAGCATTATGAACTTGCCTGTGTTGGATTCGAGGAAAAATGTAAATAGCTTGATACTAACTGCAAATAAAACACATTTTGTATTGTGTAACAGCCATTCAAAATTTGTAATGAGCTGTGTGTGTAGACTGCTTTTGCAAGTTACATTATTTAGTCATGAGTCTGTATTCATCTTTGTAATTGACTTAATGGTCCCAAGAAAACTTGGGGTATGCAGCAGAGATGTTTTAAAATTCCAATTATTTTTAAGGTGGAAAATCTGAACTAACATTCAGGAAATGGGAAAAGAAAAGGACATAGCATACAGATACAGAAAAAATGAATCTCCTAAGGAAATGCTGCAGTCTATATAGTTCTTCTTGGACTCTCTTATAGGTTTTGATGTTAGTGGGAGGAACGTCATTAAGCATTAAAAATAGCCTTCAAAATAACTTGCTGAAGACCCTTACTCTGAGGTCATGGCTGCAATTTTTTTTGTCCTAAATTTGTGAAGAAAAAAAATGGGATAATCAAACTAGTTTCTGATTATTATATCCTGTTTACTGCTGAGTAATCCTTTCCCTCAAACTTTCCAATTTTCTTGACTATGCCTAGACAAAAAACTATCAATGACAACAATGTTTTCAATAGTCTTCAATTTTAGTCTCTTTTAAATGGGAAAAATATAGATATGCTATATGAAAATCAGGTAGCTTCAGTTACTTTAGGTATTAACAGAATTGCAAGAACAAACAAAGAATAGATGTAGCTGTTGTAAAAGGTTGGTATTAGCATATTTTCCATTTTGTCTTTATTACTTCTTGCTTTCTTATTTGTATTTCAGCCTTGGTACCTGATAGTGTAAAGAAAGAACTCTTGCAAAGAATAAGAACCTTCCTTGCCCAGCATGCCAGTCTTTAACGTTGATGTTCATCTGGGATACAGTGTTTCTGTTTCTGTATTACGTCAGTCATTACTGGAACCCATTTTCCATACTTAAGAATGGAAAATATTTTTTTTTTTTTTTGTATGATGAGTTGAAGTTTCTTTGCACTGCATCAATTTCTTAAACGTGGTGTTATTTTAATAAAAAATTCTGTGGACTTACGGTTCTAAGACTGTTCTTTCTGTCAGTACACTGTAATATGGTGTCACTTATTCCAGTTTTTAATAATCCATAATTTTATACAGTAGTGCAAAACTTGCTCAGATTTTCAAAAGAGAAGCACAATTAACAAGTCCATTGGCTGGAAATGCAGAAGGGAGAAAAAGTCTGTGGAAAATGGGATATGACATGCTACTGAGCATAACCTTTCTAATTTTCCCTGATTAAGTAGCATGAAGAAGTGTAAGACTATGAAATTGTTGGTGGCATTCCTCTTGGTACTTTGCTAGAGAGTGACTTGTGCTGTAAATACTCAGTAATTCATAAGCGGGTAAATTGTTCAAAGAAAAAAAGGCAGTCATCAGTGGTTTGAAGTCTCTGACTTGTGCTGTAAATACTCACTCAGTAATTCATAAGCGGTTAAATTGTTCAAAGAAAAAAAGGCAGTCATCAGTTCTCTCTTCACATTTCCTGTAATTAAAATGAGGCACTACTCTGATCCACAACAACTACTGTTTTCTAGTTTTGCCTGTATTACTGGTAATTTTTAATTATGTGGATCTTTGGGGCCTTTTGAAATTGAAGTGTAATACAGTAATTTCCCCATGTAAGTCTCTTAAGATGATACATCTTAAATTCTTGTATCTGGAGCTGCAAGGTCAGACAAGTCTATAAATAACTGCAAAAGTAAAGTTGATAAATAGAGAGGATTAGGAAAGGGGCTTTGAAGTGAGAATGTTTAATTTTTGCCAGCTTCAATTTGATGTGTCTAATAGATGATGAAGTGGAAGAGAAGAATAAGCAGAAACTGAATAAGCAATTGGGTTCTGTGACTCGGCTACTGTGAAAAATGAATTGACTCAACATAAATCTTAATACTTCTAATTAGAATATGCTAAAAACTGTCACTTCGAGTGGAGCTCAGAAAGTCGTGCCTGCTGCAGTGGGTTTGTGTCATTCCCCAGTGCTCGCTGCGAGCCCTTTCCCAAGGAGCCGCTCGGTGGCACCCGCGCCCCACGCGTGGGGATGGTGGTGGCTGTTCCTCTCCGCTGCTGCCTCCCAGTCCCTCGGCTTTCCAAGGGAGAAGTAACAAGCTCTGCTGCAGAGCACAGTGCTCACTCCCCTCGCTGTGTGCTCACTGGGAAGTCAGGCTGGGGCTGAGCCGAGCTAGTCACCTGCACGGGGCTGGGATGAAATGGCAGTGGCAGGACGATCAGTGCCAGGCTGCCAGGGTTTTAGTAACTTGTCTGCTCAGACTGGGAACTGGGGAAGAGACGTGAGAGAAGAGACCTATAGCAGTAGCCAAAGGTGAAGCCTGGCACTAGACAAAGTCAGTATAAACTGGGCAATACCAACGCTCAGTGGGACGAGATGTAACCGGTCACCAACACCTTTTTTCTACGCAAGACCCAATTCTTGCCAAGACTGGAACACTGCAGGAGCCAGGACCAGGTATCTGCTACATTACACAGATACTCCTTTTGAGGCTGTGTGCTGTACTGTTTTAAAGCTACCTTCATGCCAGTTTGAGCGTACTTCATGGACATCTTTGACCCTACACTTGTTACATAACAGTGGATGTCAGAAAAAAGAAAGTTATTTTCTTCCACTTAAAAGTCCATCTTGTTTTTTAAAAAGTTTATTTGCATTGATTATGTTAATTCAATGTTTGATTGTAACTTCATTTGCAATTAGTATGTTCTGTTTGAATTACATATATGTATATTTATTCTGAGCTCTTCATTCTAGACTTGATTTACACAATGCTAATAATTGAGAGTACAGAATGTTTCTTCACAGGCTAGCAGAATATACACTAGCTGAGTATGTTTAACATATGTCAAGGCTGTAAAATATCTTCTGTATTCTTACACTTGTTCTTAAAGGTCTTTCCTTATGTTCTTTGATATTTTGCATGTGACTTTAAAAGTCTTTGCTTGATGAATGGGTGTACTGTGTCATGGCACACAACAACTTACAGCTTCCACTTGATTTCCTTCAGTGCAATGGGAGAGGGCCAGACTTAAGGTATTCATACACTGAGCTGTGGAAGACTTGTTGTCTGCTTAGTAAATATTTGAGATTCCATCTAGAACATGACAGTTAAAGTGCAGTTGCTCTAAGTGCGCCGTAGTTTTCCCCTGTAGGCAGCTCAGGCTTGGCACAGAATAAAGACTGAACACCACATGAATTTTCAGAAAGTTGTGCTGACCAATCTGAAGTTAAAAGACTTGAAAAACATCTTTTACATGCTTCCAAAATTAAGTTGTAATGTTCTGCCCAGACTGACTTAAAATGCAGGAGCATTCAGAGACTCCGGAGGAAGAGGAGAGAGTGACTGCCTTCCAGGCACACACCAGTGGCTCCCATTTCAGGGTACCACAGGCTGCTCTCTGGTGTCAACAGCTGAGCGCCCTGTGTTCTGCAATGAGTTCCGTTCATCACACCAGCGCAGCCTCCACTCAGTATATAAGAAAAAAGCATGTTTGATAATATGTGCAGATCCAGATTACACTGGAGCGGACTGGTCAGAGGTATCTTGATGGATCTTCTAAGAACAAAGTTAGGTTTGGCTTGATATCAGCAATGGGAGAAGGTTTCTTGAGGAATACATAGGTCCCGTTAGTGGCCTCATATGTTTGTTTTAACTGCAGGTTTTATTCTCAGATGCACAGAATGGCTTTGTTTTACAAACTGTTCTCTGCATAATCTGTTTCTGCTCACTTGGTTGAATACTGAAAACAATTGGTAACATTCAGGATTCAGCCAGAAAATCATTGTCCTGTTGAGATTTTTTTCATACACTGAAAAATAAGATGATCTGTGCTGTTAAAGGTTCATACCTATAGCAAATATAGACAGACAGATGCATTAACTATTTTTTCTTCAAAATTTCAGTATTTTCAATGTCATGAAATACATCTGTTCCTTACAAAGGCAGACACCACCCAGAACTAGATAGACAAGAAGTGACAATTCAGGATTGCTGTGAATTATCCCAACTGTGGGCATATGCTTCTTTTAGATGGCAGCCCTGTATATACACTCTAGTAGCTGATTCTGCTTGGTCTTTTTGTAGACAAGCCTGTAAAAAATAAAATCAGTTTGTAAATTGACATTGAAATAATGGGTCAGATAACAGCTAGAGTAAATTGGTATAGCTCTGGATGCACATTAATCCAAATTCTATGTGATAGTGAATTGAACAGTCCTACTGCCGTCAATGAAAGGCCAATAGAGAAAAGTTATCTTAGCCTCTCCCTTAGCCCAGCCCTGAGGGGTCTGAAATACACAATGAACTGAAACTGGTTAGATTATAATTTGTTCGATAATTATTTCTCCATGAATACTTCTCCACATTGACGTAGTCCAGTCAAAAAATGTTGTGAAAGAGGAGCACCACCAAGAAATTCTGTTGAGATGTCAGACTAACATTCCCATCTTCGATAAAACCTTATCATTTTGCCACCACATGTTTTTCAATTTTTGTTTTTTTAATTAATATTCTTTTTTTTTCCATTCTTCATTCTTGTTTACTGCCTTAATGTTTCAGTACAGACCTTTATCACTTGGAGAACAAGTATGTCTGAAGTCTGTTTAAATCCAGTAAGAGTCCATCAGTGCTATTAAAAAATTCTTGCTGCTTCTCAGTTCTTATCTCTGGAGGCTCCTTTGGGGTGACGGCTCTGCACTACCTACCCCATGTCCTCATCTTTTTCTTTCACATAATGGAATAAGTTTAATTGTAGTGATTGTGGCACCTTGATAGTTTGGCTTTAACTTACTTGGTGATTAAGTGTTCACTGCAGCAATGAAAAATATCCGGTGCTTTTACTTACTGTTTTTCTTTAAATTTCTAAATATTTGCAATTGAAATCAGAACTGTGTTCTGCTTGGCCTCTTCTTCTCAGCTATTCAGTTTCTACAAGAAACAGCTGTGGCTGCAGAGCTAAATTTGTAATGACTGGAGCCCAAAATGAGGAAAAATAAATTCCTTTCCTCATAAATAATTTATACTTCACCACTTTTTAGTGTAATGAATAGGTTAATCAGCATTCTGTTCGGAATGAGAAAAGGCCTTTAGTGTATTTCACATTTACCATGATGCTTTCCAGCTGAACAGTATTATTCTTAAAAATGTTCTTTACACTTACCTTGTAACTAGTGAAGTGATTTAGTAATAGGTCATAAAAAAATATTCCTCTAAGAAAACCCTGCTGATTTATGTTTGTTGGAGTTATTAGGAAAGAGGTTATCCATTCTTTGAATCATTGATGGGGAAGTGCTGCTGATAAAATCTGCAGCTGACAGCCTGTTGGTGAATACTGACAAGGGCAGAGCGACCTGGCCCCTTTGTTGGCCGGCTCACATCAACTGCCTGGGTACAAAGTGAGCGCAGAGTTGAGTTTTTACATCTAGTGCAGAGGGCAAAAGCAACGTTTAATTCCCTGGAAAGCAATGACACTGGAAATCATCGTGAAAAACTCATCATCTACTTCCATGGGATCTTCGAATATATATGCACAGAGATGAGCATCACTCCGCTCTTAGCTTTGTATACTGCATTGGTAAGACTCGCTCATGTGGTACGACTTGCAGTTTTGAAAGGAAAAGGAAAAAATGGAGTGCTGAAAAGACAAAAAGGAATTCTTGAGGGCTAGCACTGCTGGTTAAGCTTTTAAAATCTCACAGTGTTAGTTTATTGAAAAGAAAGCTGATTGATAGAAACTATGGTTGTGGTGTATCAGAACCTCCTCAGGGAGAAAACAGGAAACAAAGGGCACGTTAACAGTGTGGTGGGAGATTAATAGATCTGGCAAAGGGCATGAGAAAAGAAAAGAAACTCACATTTTACCAATAGGAAGAAAGTCTTCTAACAAATGCTGATGTATGAAGAAACAAAGAACAGCTTCATGATTCTCCCCAACCCCCAAAATAAAAAAAAAAAATCCTTTGCTTTCCTAAATGCTTTCCCCAACCAAACTTCATGCCCTTATCTTT